GTTGAACTCAGCCAACTGTACAGTCATTCGATGTACATTTTGGCTTATTGTCTACAAGAATATTGTTAGTGACATGGCCAGAAGCCTTGCTTAGATCAGTGTTTATCAGCAAAGTATCTTGTAAAAAACGATAATTAGTTGGTACAATATGGTCTACTCCTAGAGAGCCAATATTGGGTCTTAGTAATTACCTCTTTTCTATCTGCTTGTCAATATTGTTTAACAGTCTCTGCCTTATAATTGTCAGGAAGCAATATTGAAATAATGTCTCTAGTTTTAGAGAATCTACCTTTAAAAGTATTTATAAACTTCTTCATTGATGAACCGCAAGGTATTCTGAGATGATGGGAGTGACAGGGCAGTGCACTTGGACTTGGCACAGTCTCCCTGGCTGTCTCCTGGGCCAGGCACGTTCTTGCACCATTGGAGATCCATGCTGGCCTCGAGTTCAGCTGGAAGGCCCTGACCGGGCACGTGCTCTTCCCACTGTTAGGAAACTAGTTTGCTACAGCTTCTGCTGGTGCTGCAGGTGGAAGGGCTCGCTGTGGCAGCACCCAGGCTCCCCGGGCTTTTGGGCACCACCTCTCCTCACTCCTGCATTCCGTACTACTCACCTCCTGCCCTAGGACTTTCCTGTCTGCGCAGCACTCACTTCCCTACACACCGACAACTTCCTACCCCAGCACTGTTTCTGGAGTCTCAGCCTGCACGTGCAGCAGACTGGAAATGTTGGACAGTTGATGCCCCTGGGGGCAGAGGATACATTTCTCAGATTCCTTCCACTTTGGGTGGAAAAACTCTGAAGCACGTTCTCCACTGTCTCCCAGCGGTCCCAGTGGGACTGACCCCAGCTGCCCACAGTGGTAACTCATTGACACGCCCTTTATTGACTTCCTTCCTTCTGTCTCCCTTTCCCACCTCTGTTCTGGTGCTTCCTGGGATCACTTCCTAAATAAATTTCTTTTATTAAAATCCTTGACTCTGGCCGGGCGTGGTGGCTCACGCCTGTAATCCTAGCACTCTGGGAGGCTGAGGCGGGCGGATTGCTCAAGGTCAGGAGTTCAAAACCAGCCTGAGCAAGAGCAAGACCTCGACTCTACTATAAATAAAAAAGAAATTAATTGGCCAACTAATATACATAGAAAAAATTAGCTGGGCATGGTGGCGCATGCCTGTAGTCCCAGCTACTCGGGAGGCTGAGGCAGGAGGATTGCTTGAGCCCAGGAGTTTGAGGTTGCTGTGAGCTAGGCTGACGCCACGGCACTCACTCTAGCCTAGAAACAAAGTGAGACTCTGCCTCAAAAAAAAAAAAAAAAAAAAAGAAATCCTTGACTCTGGATCTGCTTCTTAGAGAACCCAACCTCAGGCACTAGGAAACCAGAGACCTTTCCACTATAAGAGCCCCTTCCCTGCCACCATCTCCTCTTCTGATGGGCTGGTTGACAAGGGTCTGCATTAACCAGATGGGGTTTTAATCTTTCCTACATTCTTGCATTCTATTCTGAGTAAAGTTTAGTTAAAAACCTAAATCATCAAGTCCAACATAATAGTGTGTTACCATAGTGTCGTAGTTAGTTGTCTGCAACATTATGTTAGCAGAACTCATTTGTTTTGTTTTGGTTTTGTTAAATGTTATTTTTATGATTTGAATAAGTAATACATGCAAACAAGGTAAAAAAGATGTACAAAAGGATCTACAATGAGCTCTCCCCTCTTATTCAAGTCTGCTAGTCTGTTAGTAATTTCTTATGTATCTTTCCAGAAATATTTAATGCATTTACAGTTACACACACATACACATGCACACATGTTTATCTTCCCTTTTATAGTAAACAATAGAATCCTGTACTACACCCTATGGACTCTTCTGAATGCTGCTTTCTCATGTGACAGTAAACCTTGGTGATTTTTTTCATGTCAGTAAATATAGATTTACCTTCTTCTAATAGCTGTGCAGTTCTCTGTTGTATGAATCGATTTCGTGCTGATGATTATTGAGGTAATTTCACCTCTTTAACAAGCTAAATGCTAACATAATCTAAAACCTTAAAACAACTGTTCTATTTGCTTACAATCTGCAACCTGAACTGGGCTCCGCTGGGCAGTTCTACTGGCCTTGCTGGTGGTTACTACTGGGGATGAGTGCTGTTGGCAGGGTGTTTGGGGGCTAGCCTCAGCTGGGACACTAGGGTGGCTGGGTGTTGCTCTCTGGTCCCAGGGAGTCTCAGGGTCTCTTTCCCTGTGAGATCCCCCCTGGGCTCTGTGGCCTCTCTAGCAGGTAGCTGAACTTCCTACACATCATCAATCTAATAGACTAGTTACAGGATCAGGGCTCCCAAAAGAAGCACATTTCATTTTATTAGATTTATTTGTGGTATTTTGTTTGAAAAGATAATTACACTTTCTAATAATGATTGAAAATCACTAATTTACATTATGGAGTTATAAGAGGATTTAGAGAGATCATCTAATCCTTCCCCTTTATATGACCGATGAGGGGTCTGAAAATCTGAAAGGTCAATGGTCAAAAGAATTGTAACCGTCACTAACTTATGGTCCTGGGGGGGGGTAGGGGGGCGAGGTCATCACCTCGAAATTTTTGTTCTCCTTCTTATCCTGTCCTGATTTCCCATCTGTGAGCTTCAACCCATTCATTTCCTGGCTAAATAAACATTTACTGAGCACCTGCTATGTCCCAGGCACTGTTCCAGAAGGTCATTATTCCAGTAATTTAGTACTTCCAGCCTCACATGTAACAGCCGTGTGCTGGACGCGGCTTGTGCCATCTCGCGAGATCTGGTTGTGATTATTCATCTCTCTCCAACTCCAGCTTCAGTGACAGCGTGTTGGGAACTTGAAATTGGTCATGGTGGGAGTATTTACATCACAGTAATCAGCAAACACCACAAATCTGGACTTTTTATCCTCCCCAAGGAGTGGGTTGTTAAACATTTACCATCCACACTGTGGCCCTAATCTTATATCACATTCTCTTTCGGGCTGAGAGGGTTTCCTTTACACAGTTCACCCTAACCTATAGGTCTCTGACTTTTCATTTATTTATGCATTCATTCAGTAAATATTTATTGATCAACTCCCATGTTATTTATGCCATGTCTAAAGTGGGGCAGCCTCCACTCTTTTCCAGCTAATTATTTTCAGGCAGGAATGTGGGCATACTCTTGCTAGAGCTTATTTTTTTAAGAGAAGCTAGTAATTCAGATTTTTATGTAGAAGTACCCAGGTTTAAAATCTGAACAACAAATGCAAAATGTTTTAAACTAATCCCTAGGCCAAAATAAACATATCTTTAAGTTCCATTTGGAATGGGGGCCACCAGTTTGTGACTTCTGTTCTCACTCTAACAAAAGTGCATGCCACCAAGGCCCTCGCCCCTCCACTCCTCTACTCACACCAGTCTTGCTACAGTTGAACCATGAAAATCCAGGCACCCATGCGGCACTCCACCCTCCACCCTATGTCTGTCAGAGTACATTTTATTTTTTTATTTTTTGAGACAGAGTCTCGCTTTGTTGCCCAGGCTAGAGTGAGTGCCATGGCATCAGCCTAGCTCACAGCAACCTCAAACTCCTGGGCCCAAGCGATCCTCCTGCCTCAGCCTCCCGAGTAGCTGGGACTACAGGCATGTGCCACCATGCCCGGCTAATTTTTTTCTGTATATATTAGTTGGCCAATTAATTTCTTTCTATTTATAGTAGAGACGGGGTCTCGCTCTTGCTCAGGTTGGTTTCGAACTCCTGAACTCAAACGATCCGCCCGGCTCGGCCTCCCAGAGAGCTAGGATTACAGGCGTGAGCCACCGCGCTCGGCCCAGAGTACACTTTAGATGTGTGTTTAAAACAATGTCCTTTGGTTGAGGGCCTTGTAGAACTCCCCAGTAATGCCCACTTCTCAGTCCCACATTCTTCTCTCTCCTGCACCCTTTCCACTAAGGTGAGCAGGATGCCATTTAGTTTCTTGAACGCCCCATGCTGCCTTCTGCCACAGGGCCTTTGCACATGCTGTTCTCTCTTCCTGGAACATGGCACTTTCCCCTTACTAATGTAACACAGAGGTTATTTTCTCAGAGAATCTCCATTCTTCTAGACCAGATCAATCTGTCTAATTTATGCTTTGCCATTACTGTGTTTTGCTCTTTGGTGGCATGGTCATGGCCATGAACTTGACTTTCTTAGATCTCTTACTGAGGAGTTTGTCATGGACAGACAGCCATGGCTGCTGTGCTCTGAATCCAACGCCACATCTCTGCTGAGGCCACACTTCCCAAGGGCTGCTCCCAGCCCATGGCTGAGCACAGCAGGAATGCTAAGGCAGGGCCATCTTTGGGAAAGTCAGACTCTACTGATGGGCAACTTTGGCCTTGTCAGAATTTCTTGAGAACTACACCGCAATCTAAGACTACCCACCCGTCCTTCCTTCCCTCTCCCCGTCACAGAACTGCTCCCCTGTCTGACGGGTCTCCTGGCCTGCCCCGGCCCTTCCCTCATGTCACTCAAAGGCATTTAACAGTCAATCTCTTGCATAATTAGTCTCTCTTGACAGGCTTGTTGGAAGATCCAAACTAACACAAGTCTCTATTATGATGTTAAATTTATATGTGCGATTATTTTGTTAACTGACTGGTTTCTATTCCTTGCTATAATTTCTCAATGCAAACCTTTAAAAATTTCTTTTCATAAAAAAGTCTCGTAAAACATTTAGTTTTGCATACACATCCACAGTCATACATGTGCAATTATTTGATGATTGCTTACCTCCCAGACTAGACTATGAGACCAAAGACCAGATTGGAGACACGTGCGTCTTTGGTTTACCATTAAATCCCAGGACTTCCCTCAGGGACCCGCACACAGCGAGTACTTGTGGACGCTTGCTCGCCTAACAGTGAATGAAATAATTACAAACACAGGGCATTATAAAAAGTGGAAGGTAGGGTCAAATGTAATGTATGTTTGTCCTAACTATAGGCTTTCTAGTTATTTTTCAACTTGGGAAACTGCAATTGGGGATTGTGCCCTGCAGAATAAGGTCAATAAACATAAGACAAGTTCGGTCAGTCCAAGGAGTCCCTGTAGTAATTTAGGGATTTAGAATTGGATTACATTTTAGCATACTTATAGGAGGAAACTCTAGTTTCTTCTTTCTTCCCTAAGCCATAATAGTTTGGTCATGGAAAACACTCCATCCAAATACTGCCCAAGATCGGTAATCTCAGAAGCTGTAGGCAATGAAAGCAGTTGACAAAGGAGTTTTGAGACCTGACTTGGTTTAAATCTACAGTGTCCTAGTTTCAGATCGTGGACAAGTCATTTTGCCTCTTCAGGGTTTGATATTCCCACCTGTACCCTGGGAGGGGTGCCTGGGGACCCTGAGGCACTTCTAGCTTGGACATCCCTGAAGTGGACATAGAGGTCAGGGGAGGAGTGACCTCTTTCTTGTCCCGTGCTGTAAGCCCACTACCTCCCTCGGCACCTGCATTGAGGAGGCACTGAATGCATCTAGCTTGAATGAATGAATGAAACCCGAATGGGGTGCCTTCCTCCTCTTTTTGCCTGGGTACATGCTGTTTCGGGGCCCAATCTGTGCTAGCAGGAAAGGCAGGAAGCAGCTGTTTACCTTCCAGGGAGCGGCTGGGTGATCTGCCTGTGTAAACAGCCATTTGCTCAGGTGTCAAGAGGAGCACCTGAGAGAGAACACACATTTATTCCCTTCCTCACGGTAACGATCCAGAAATCCCGGCTTGTCTCTGCATTTTTCCAGGCACTACTGGAGCGGGAGCCTGATCTTTTTCTACCCCAGCCTGGGACCAAGCATGCACCCCACTCTCACTCTTGCACTCCTACCCTAAGTCCCCCCTTCTCTAGTCACCCTTCAGAACAAAACTCCCTATCTGAAGTTATCTTATTATTGAATGTTTTTGCCTGCTTGTTACCTGTATTCTTCCCTTAGATTGTAAACGCCTTCAGACTAAATTGTCTTGTTCAAGGCCCTGCACCTTCTCCCTGCACCTGGAAGGACAGTGTCTAGCACTTGGTGGGGAGGCTCAGTAAATGGACATGGACCGACAGATGAGTGGGATTTGCTCCAAACCTGGTACAGTGCAGTTGCCAACCCGAAGGGTGCCTGAAATTCCCACCACTAAAGTCACCTCGTTGGATTAAGTCAGAACTCTTCACTCAACCATGGCAAGCCACTTTTAGTTTTCGTTATAGCTCCTACTCTTGCTTACTGAATGTATTTCCTTAATTCATCTCTCTTCTTTCACTTAAATTTATCTAAAATGCAAATTGTATGTCATGACTATAAATGGAAACCAATGTCACTTTCCATAAATAGAAAGTAACCATGAAAATAAATACAATGATCACAAACTTTAGGGCCAAGGGGACAGAGGATGGAACTTTATTTCAATGTATTTTTTTCCTTTGTAATACTAGGTATTTTATTTTATGTATTTACAAACATTATTTTGATGCAGGGTCCACACTTCACAAGACTTCCAAAGGAACTCAAAGCATCTTCCTTAAGAATCCTGGAGGAGAGATACCAAGAAACTGTCTGCCAATGGCCCAAGCTTGAGGCCTCTTCTTTCTTTGTTAAAAAGGAAAATCAAATAATGTTAGGGTCATGTAAAAGACATGTTATCACCAAGCTGAGACCACCTTTATGATGTAATCAGAATGACTGAAAGGGAATAGAAAAGAGAATGACTTTCTCCACGTAATTTGGGTCTGTGGGCTCCATTAAATCATTTCAGGTACCTTGGGTTAAGGTGGAGTCTTCAGAAATCCCAATTAAATTGCCCATACATGATTTAGGGCTAAATTGCAAATATACTAGTACTATTAGTTTAGACTAATTTATCAGCTCATATCACTAAATATTTGTTGAGAGACCACTATGTACAAAGCTTATATGTTAAGCCCATGTACTAAGTCTCTCTTGCATAATGCAAGTAGAGGAGGCTATGTAATTGTGTTCTTTTATAGTAACTCCTAGTAACTCCAATATCTGGGCACCCTTTAGGTATGCTTCACCATCCATTTCTTCTGTCATGTGTTCTTGTCTCCTGAAATGACTGGTAGTTTGAAATTAGATGCCAGATGTGTATCAAAAATTAAGATAATTTGAGATTCTGTGTAATTTTATCTTCTAACAAAAATTTGCTTTTATTTTTACTTAACCGTTAAGATAGAGGCAGATCACCTAACCCATTAGGGATTACGTTTACTCAAAGCTGGACTTCATTCCTTGTGAGGGTCGGTCTATTTCTGGTCAACCCTACTTATAGGGTACAGCCCTTTGTCAATGTCAACTAAAAACCTGGGATGCTTACCATCGCCACTTTTCCTTATTGGGTTCTGAATTCCCACTTTCCCCTTCAGTATGGTAAGACCACCAGAAGTAATGCTCAGCTTCCCTCCTGTCGGCCACAGCTTATGAATCAGATACAGTCCTTGAAGGGGGAAGCAGACCGAATGTCAAGCTCACCTCTTTGCACATGCCTTTTCTCAAGGAGCTCAGTCCCTCAGTCCCTTGCTGCCTTGGTAGCTGTCTGATGCCTTCAAACCAAACCATTCAACTATTTTGTCTGGCTTTTCTAATTGTCCTTGAGTGATGGATTGATCTTCAACAAATGAGTCTATCATTACAGCCTACAGGTCGTATTGTTACATGAGAAAAGCAAGTGACAAAAGAATATGTATAGCACGATCCCAGATTCATTAAAACAAAAATATTGGTAATTTGTTAGAATATGCACAGGAACATAATCTGAAAGAAGAGTTACCTAACCATTTACATCGGTTACCCATCATGCAATATTACATTTTCCACACTGCATAATTTTTTGTAATGTTTAGACTTCAGTTTTCAATAAGGATACATTTTATTTGTAAGAGGAAAATAATGATGTCATTTCCAAGAAATTAAAGAATTAAAAATGGCATAACGAAGTAGTTGGAAAGTAAGATAGTCTTTATCTTCCCCTTACTAAGCTACAGTATGAAGAGGCCTCTTGGTTCAGGGATTTTCCAGGTTGGTGAGTTACCTATAAGGATTCAAAATTACTTACTGAATCTTTTAATCTACTTGATCTGCAAATAAAAGAGAAACTAAAATTATAGACATCTTTCAACTCTAGGAAAACATTTACTTAGCCAAACTAACTTTAGCATGCAACTAATTAAAAAGGACTTTCTTCTTAGAAAGAGAGACACATATCCATAGAGTGCTATAATTTATATAAAGGCTCAATCTGAAAACTCCATTCCATCATTTTCCAAGTGAATACTGAAGTCCAAATTTGGGAGTTAATACTTATCTGAGCTAATTTTCATCTTATTGATTCTACCCTTTAGAAGTTTTCTAGCCCTTTAAGATAATTTTGAGTCTGAATTTTGTCTCCAACTATCTTAACTAATACTTTAGTCATTTTGTCGACTAAGAATTTAGTAGGTATGTCTTCTATCTCCTGTTCTAAGATATTTATGAAAATATTGGGAAAGTTTTAAAAATATAAATCAAGTGCAGAATAAAGTGAGACTTCTCTCCAGATTGTCAATAATCAATTAACACCTTTGTGCATCATTGTTCAATCCACTTCAAATCCACTGCAGTATAATCTTATCCACATTTCCCTATTCCACTAGAGCCGCCACATATGTTACTCACATTCAAATCTTCTTGGTGAACCAATTTAGCCAGAGACCATAAGAGCTGTTATAGACCTCCTGCCCTGTGTCCCTTGGCCACAGTAGATTGGCCCAAGGATGAACACTTGAATGCAAAGTGGGCCCATCAGATTCTCTATCTCTGGAACTTGGCAAAGAGTCACAGAGCCTGAGTCTGTTGGCTGTAGAGAGCCAAACATAAGGGCCATGGGACTTAGGGTCTGAGGCCACCATCGTGGGGCACTCACGGTGGGCCTTTTATGAACAGAAGAGTAGAGACTGGTTTATGGGGACTGATTTGTTAGGAGAAAGAAAAAACCCAAAGCATACATGCTATGAGAAATATTAATAGAAATTTGAGGAATCTGACATTATAACCTATACTTTGATTCTGTGAGGTTTTTGTGTAGTTTTAAAATAAACTGTCCTTTTGGTCTGAGCAAATGTTTTGGGCTGAACTGTGTCCCCTTGAAATGCCTATGTTGAAGGCCTAGACCCCACTGTCTCCGGATATGACCATGTTTGGAGACAAGGACCTTTAAAGAGGTGATTAAGTTAAAATGAGGCTCTTGGGGTGGGCCCTAATCCAATCTGACTGGTGTCCTCGTAAGAAGAGGAAATTAGGACGCACAGAGGGACACCGGAGGCACCTGTGCACAGAGGGACGGCCATGTGAAGACGCAGCAAGGCGGCGGCGTCTGCAAGCCAGGAGGAGAGGCCAAAGGGGGAACCAAACCTGCCAACACCCTAATCTGGGTCTTCCAGCCTCCCCACTGTGAGAAAGTGAATCGCCCGGCCTCGGAATGTTGCTATGGCTGCCCAGGCAGACTAAGACAGCAAGTTCGAGTGGGTTTCACTGCTGTCGGTCACATGTAGTAGAAAACTGGGAATCAATTGGATCAAAATTTAAGCATTTACATGATTTCCTATAGCTAGAAATCAGGACGAAAAGAGCTCCAGGGCTGGTTAATCAGTAACTCATGACATCGTGGAGGATCTATGTTCTTCCCATGTTTCTGCTTTTCCATTCTCATCTCAGCATGTCTGTCGACTCTGACCTCAGGCTGGATCCCTTTATGTTGGCAAGCTGGCTGCAACATTTCAGGTCATGACATTGTCCTGAATAATATAATGTAAGAAATTATTATATTTTCTTTAGTGTTTCTTTCTAAAAGCAAGAGAATCCTTCTGAGGAGCCCTCCTGTACTCTTTTGCATACATCTTATTAACCAGAAATGCATCATAGCCAACAACTACACTAATCACTAGCAATGAAAATAAGGCCATCAGGAAAGAGCCACCCTGGGTGCATAGGGTTCAAGGGCAAGGGCAGGATCTAAATAAAATGGACGGAGGGTTAAGAACAAAGAAGGGGGAATGAATTTGGAGCAGGTAACCAACAGTGTCTCCGGTACCTTTCACCAATGCTCCCTAGACAGCAATTTTATGTACAAGATAATCATGGGAGATTTTGGCAAATGTATTACTGAAATAGTGACACCTTTAATACCCCCTCTTCTGATATATCAGTTTAATTAATATACATGGACAAAACATACAAAATAAGTTTGGATTTTCATATTTTTATAACCCTGCATAATTTAAAATTTTTGTATGCTTTCTGTCATTTGCTGCAAGAACAATTTTACAGAATGAGAAACTGAACCTCAGAGACTTGAAATGATTTGCACAAGAATGCACAATGTTTGGTCCTAGAACGATGAAAAAATGACTGGGGGGGGGCATATGTCAGTAAGTAGTGATAGATTAGATTAGAGTAGATTAGAGAGAGAAAGTAGTAAAATCATAGGAATCTAGGTAAGATTATGAGGACCTTGAATGTCAGAGGAAGGAGTTTAAAATTGATTAAATGTATAGTGACATCTTAATCTGAGGAGTGATCTGATGAAGTGTTCCTGGAAGATTCGTCAACCAGTGGTTTCCAGAAACAGTTCACAAGTGGTTTAACAAAATAGCGTAACAGAAGCCACACTCAAAGACTCACTCATTTTCTTTCAACTACAATGTATTGAGCATATAGTAGGTGCGAGGTCCCAAGTTCAGCAGTAGGGGTTAGGTAATGAGCAAGGCAGATATGAACACTTTCTTTCTATCAGTTAAAGCCAGAAGGAGCTGTATTAATCAGGATAGCCTGGGCTATGCTGCTATAACAAATAAACACTGATACCTTTAGCTTGAGATCATTGAGACATACTTTTGTTCATGTGAATTCTGAGACATGAATGGTTATCTTGCACTTGTACCTATGCCTTCTAGAACACCTGGCCTCCAAGGACACCACAGTAGGTCAAGAGAGATATGGAGGATGGACGTCAACTCTTACTTGTCTCAGCCTGGAAGTGACATGTGTTACTTCTGCTTACAGTCCACTGGCCCAAACTGGTCACATCTAACAGCAAGAGAGGTTTGAGAATACATGGCAGGGAGCACGTGAATATTTGGTAAGTGGTAACTGTCTCTGCCACAAGATTTTATAATAAATATCTTAGGAAAAGATCTGTTTCTTCCTTATTCACTTACAAAGTTATACTGTGTAAGGAGTGGTTATATAAACATCACTTTAATGACAACTTCTGCTTCAGGAGAAAGAGCTTTCAGATTGTGTGTATAAGCAGAAGATAATAACAAGTCAATACTAAAGAAAGGTGACATTTTAATTTCTTTGCCCTGCAGTGATGCAGTAGAAAGAAAACACCTCAATTTGCATCACAGTTCTCCTATGTGCTGCTCGTGTGTCCTTAAGCAAGTCATTTAACCTCTGTGAGCCTCCTTCTTCAACTTAAAAAAGAGAATAATACTTATCTACCCCACAGAGATATCATGAGGATTAAAAGTTAAATATATATATGCAAATGTCTATGTGGCACCACAACTGGCACACAGTAAAAGCTAATTAAATGTTAAATGAGTCTGCTGCATATGGGTCAAAACAAATTGTAGATCAGACCTCCCAGGCATGTTTCTTATGACACCTTTCATGTAGCTTCTTGCATCAAATCTAACTCAGCTGCCTGGTTTTCAAGACTCCATAATGTTTCACTTCTTATCCTGTCTCCTCCCCCTACAACTTCCCAGCATCTTGTCTCCCCAAGCTCTTCCCTTTGACACTCACTCACTGCTCCTGCTAAACAATTTTACTTGCTGTCTGAAAATTTTGATAGGTCTCTGGAAAACTCTTCCCATGCCACTGATTGCGTTAAATATTGGGGGCCCCTCCTTACCAGGCTGGTCCCTCCAGTCCCCCATCGACATCGGGTTTGGCCATCTGATTTGCTTTGGCCAGTGAAAAGTGAGTGGAAATGATGTGAGCAGAAGCTTTGAGAGCCACAGAATGTTTCGCCATCTCTCTTTTTGCTCTGCACAAGACCAACATGCTCCGAATACAATCTTCCCTTTCAACTTTGGTCCTGAAATGAAGATGTGCAAAAGAGCAGCAGCTTATGGTGGACAGGAATGAGATTGAGAAATACTCATATGTGCAGGTAACTTGCTAAGATATTAGAGGTTATTTGCTACTGAAGCATAATCTATCCAAGAGATGGCTGAGACAACCCAAATCCCTACCATACATGCACCCTCTGCTCTTTTTTTTTTTTTTTTTTTTTTTTGAGACAGAGTCTTGCTTTGTTGCCCAGGCTAGAGTGAGTGCCGTGGCGTCAGCCTAGCTCACAGCAACCTCAAACTCCTGGGCTCAAGCAATCCTCCTGCCTCAGCCTCCCAAGTAGCTAGGATTACAGGCATGCAACACCATGCCCGGCTAATTTTTTCTATATATATTAGTTGGCCAATTAATTTCTTTCTATTTATAGTACAGACGGGGTCTTGCTCTTGCTCAGGCTGGTTTCGAACTCCCGACCTGGAATGATCCGTCCGCCTCGGCCTCCCAGAGTGCTAATCCTACCAGAGGATTACAGCCACTGCGCCTGGCTGCACCCTCTGCTCTTTAAGTAACTATGTTCAAAACCTCCCTTCCCTAGCACATTTTCCACCCCTCTTGCTTTCCCCAAATAGTATCTACTTTCAAATGCCCTCTCTATGAAGAGTCCTCTGATTATCCTGATCATAAATGATCTCTCTTTGCTAAGAGAGCAACACCCATCACATTATCTGTAGTGATATCTGTAAATAAATGTTTGTTGGCTACATTAGCAAAGGAATGCTTCGCCTATGGCACTGATTATAATATTTATTATTATAGTACTTCCCCTATGCCTTATAATATTTAGTGTGGACAGGGATCATGCTTTTTCCATTTCTGGAAACTTAGTACCATATACTTAGGCAGAGTAAACATTTGTTGACAAATAAACGACATAGCTTTCGGTTCTGGGTAAGATGGAGCAGTTGCACTCTACCTTTCTCTCTCTCTCTCTCTCTCTCTCTCTTTCTGGCACTGAATGCAGCTATATAACTGGTACATAAAGCACACAGTGGCAATTCAGGTGACCATGGCTCCAGATTAAGAGAGCTCAGCCTTTCAGTAAAACAGTAGCTGACTTGTGGCTTTGGACTGTAGAATGGGTTTCTTTAGACCAATGAAATGCAAGAACTTCCTTAAGTTCCTTCTTCTGAGCCTGAGAATTGGCCAGTTCCACAAAAGTTAACCAGAAAGGTGGCTCTTCAATGGCTACAATTTTATTATTGTTATTGTTGCTGTAGGTATGTGAGATACCAACCAGGGCTTCTAGTGATCTCTCTATATTTATGACTGCAGTGTCCCTAATGAAGGATGGGGAGAAGTACATGATGAAATACCCCTTTGGCATTAGAAATAAAAGGGAATGTGAGGAGGGATGGTCTATAATGCCCGGGTGGGATTTCTATGATAATCTGTGGTGCCTTTAAGAAGTTCTTACTTTATTTTATAGTGAAGAGGATATTTTGAGGAAGAGTAGACAGTCCTTCTTAATAACAAGTTATTTCCTCTTGAGGAAAAATAAGATAGTTAAAGATATGGTAGCACTAGGCAGATAGGCCAATAAACAAGGAACTTGGATGGAAAATACCGAATGTGGATTTTAACTGAAGGTCTAGAAGAATCCAGGACATTCATGGCATTTGTTGTGGGCGAATGAAGGAGGGGACCAAAATAGGGGAGAAGGAGGCAATGGGTAGTAGCAGAGGCCAGTCTTAGAATCAGCCATTCAAGTTATGGGAGTGTCATTTGTAACAGCCATTCTACCTCAACATGTCCCAACTACGCAGTGGTTCTGGAATCTTCAGAACACCATTGTGATCTTCATTTCCTGCCTGGCCTGGGCTTCTGGGCTGTGTTAAGCAACAAAAGGGAAAACAGTGGTGCTACTTCATTGCACAATTCTAGGGGACACCATGCATGCTACGTTTATGTAACAGAAGGAAGTTGTGTTCTCCTTTTTCACCAGTAGCCTTGATGAGGAGGAAACACAATGTTTTCTCTGAACTCTTTACAAAGATCACCTTTCTGATTGATTTCTATTATCTACTTAACCATTCTTCAATGCCTAGAGCACTAGTTCAAAATTTCAAAATATTTCCCTTTTCTTCCCCATGTTGTTGAAAGACAGATTAGAGAGAGCCAAATGCTTTTACCTGCTCTTCTTAAAAAAATCTCTTGTGCCCACTAGCCTCCCATTTTTAAACATGTCTTTAAAAAAGTGCAAATCCTCTAATCTAACTTGTAAAACATTTAATATTTTGGCCGTGCAGCTTTAATGACCATCCAGAAGTCACAGCGGCCGGATAATGGGAGCTGCAGGACTATTGTGCATTGGCCACAAAGCCATGAGGTGGCTCTTTCTCTGGGGTCAGGAGGTCAAGCTCCACAGCATTAATTTTGCTGAGTTTCTTTGTTATAAATAACAAACAAGGTCATTTATTTTCATTTTCTTGCTTCTAATTGCATGCATCTTCTCCCGAGGATGAACTCCATAAACAGGTGGCTGGAATGCTGGGGAGAAAACTTGAAACTCTTCCAGAAAAAGAGGGCATGTCCCACTCTGGTGAAACAGTTTGATGAGTTAGAGATTTAGTCACTGCAGGATATGCACCTGCACTATTACTTGAAAAGCAAACACTCATCTGTTTGGCACACACAGATCTATGTAAATGAGGGGAGATTATTTTGCTGCTAGTCCTTGGCTGTTCTGTGATCAAATGCAATTGTTTCCCATTTCTTAAGAAAAAGAATCTTTATTAGACTCAGTTCTTTTCTCAGTTATTTTTACAATTTTATTGTTCTATGGTTATTAAAAATAACATGCCATATAAATTAAGCCTAGAAACATGGATGTTTATCAAAGAAAGGATGTCATGAGAGGCTCCAACTATGAGAGATATTTATGTGCAATGGTATACGGATCTGTCATGGAAGGGTTTAATTAATATCTGCCTAGCGATTTTTTTCTCCTTACTGCCCCTATAGCTGTCCCTCAGTGAAGAATAAAATATGGACGGACCCCCACCCATTTGCTAAGAAAGTATGGGGTCTTTAGCTTTCATTGTTCAGCCAGTGAGCTTTGTGTGCAACACGGAGGGCCCCTCCTGCTGTAAACTGCTTGGGCTTCCTGATTTTCACTCCTGTATAAACCCCCTCCCCCACCACTACCTTTGTCTCTTGGTGGAAAAAAAAATCTTTTTTCACTTGAGCAAAATAAAAACTACCCAGTATTTGTTTCTGGAGTGTAATTATAAACTTCATTGTACATTCTTCCTGGCTTTGATGCTTATCTTGAAGAGTTCAGTGAAAATAAATTGTTTTTATGAAAGCAGAGAAACCATTTGATAAACACACTGTCTCTGAAAATTGTTCCTGCAAAAGAGGTCATTCTTTCACTTTAAAAGAAATAGAATATATTTCAGAAAACAGGCAGGACAACAGTTTAGGATTTCTGTGAATACAAGAATTTTTTTTTAAAGGCAGGGTGTAAATACACTGAAAATTGCACACCTCCTGATTGTGTTGAGTGTATTGGTTTCTAAAATAGCTTTATTGAAGAGTTACTTAGGTCACAAGCAAATACTTGCTGCATTTCATATTTCTGGGAATGAATTCTCAGCTTAGTACTTTTTTGCTACTAGGGTTTTGGGGGTTGCCGTTCTATAATTACTATATATCTGTCAGAAGCTATGGGTGTATCTACTCTTAGTAAAAGTAATAGTCAACTGGGAAAATGGTTAGTTTTATAGAGCTCTTCTTGTGTCTGGTAGTATACAGACCAGTATGACTAAAATTGGTTGTAGTAATATGAGAAGCAACCTGGTGTATACAACTGAATATATATTAATTACCATGGAGGAAAAGTTTGCTTATTCCTTCCCCCCCCATTTGCCCATGTTTCTGTCTTTTTTGAGCAAAGTAAAAATATCAAAATAGCTCACATTTTCAGATCAGAAGTGTTTGGATTTATTGAAAACTGAAACTAATTTTTTTCACACTGTAATTCCTATGTGGAACTCTCTCCCAGTGATTGGTTTTAGATCCTGCACTGCAGACAGGTAATGAGGGCCCCACGGTCCGAATTTTTCCTCTATACCATGTGTAGGGTTATTTTTGTGAGAATCTTGGTAGGTTTTGTATGCGAAGCGTTGTTTCTCTGACGTGGAACTCTTAAATTTCATGGAGATGGTTAAATACATATTAAGAATCCAGGATGGAGAGGAATGCTATGCTTTATGACATGAAGCCAAATGCAGATATGTTTTACCAATATAATACATTAGCTGTTACTATGGGAATAGATGAGATGAAACCTGAGTAGCTCTGGCCTTGTTAATTTCCATTTGGAGCTACTGTTAATTTGTCTGCATTATAAATTCCAAACAAGGATCATAATATTTGGATAGGACTTTTCATCACCTAAACCCAAGAGAATTAAAGTGTATATATTTTTAATAGTATCGTCATTTCATCTGGGCAAGCAGAACATAGAAGGGTTAAATTACTTTTGCAGATTCCTAAAAGTGGAGGTTACAGTAAGATTTTTGGTTCAGCAGGTTTAATGCCTTCCTCAAGGAGACTTTCTTGCATAATGTGGAACCTGATAAAGTAGAGAAAGTTTTCAGAGTTCTGTCAAGATATAGTTTTTCAGGCCGGGCGTGGTGGCTCATGCCTATAATCCTAGCACTCAGGGAGGGCTGAGGCGGGCGGATTGCTCAAGGCCAGGAGTTCGAGACCAGCCTGAGCAAGATCGAGATCCTGTCTCTACTAAAAATAGAAAAAAATTAATTGGTCAACTAAAAATATATAGAAAAAATTAGCTGGGCATGGTGGTGCATGCCTGTAGTCCCAGCTACTTGGGAAGCTGAGGCAGGATTGCTTGAGCCCGGGAATTTGAGGTTGCTGTGAGCTAGACTGAGGCCACGGCACTCTAGCCTGGGCAACAGAGACTCTGTCTCAAAAAAACCCCACAAACATATATATATATATATGTATATATATATATATATATATATATATACAGTTTTACTACAATGTAAAGTTTGTATATCCCCTCCCCAAGTTTTTTAGAGATTCTAGGATGACAACAACTATTCAATTAGAAAAATCAAGGTAATAAGACAGTTTTAACCCAAATCATCTAAGAACTTTAAAGGAATTTTCTAAAGCTCAGAAGTTGCATTTTGGCCACACAACTGATTCCTGTGCTGCCCTTCGAAATCAATAACAATTAGCACTGTTCTGCATAAATTCAAAGCATATTTAAGATATGTTCTTCGAGAAGTTTCTTCAAATTCAAAGCTAATGTAGTATAAAGAAAACTTTTGTCTATGGCATTTCAGAAAGACTGCTGACAGACTGAAAAAGGAGACACCCCTAAGATAACAAATAGCATGACAGTTAAAATTGCGTTAACTTTTTAAAAGCATCATTCTAAAGTTTTAAATGGATGGGCTTCAAATCCACTGGAACTCTTAAAATTAGATTGCATTTAGAATGCAGTGGACAGTTTAATCAGATCCATTGTATTAATAAATGAAACAACACAGGATCGTAGTTTTAATGTATACAAAGGGCCTAAAATAGCAGTGCAAAAGGCTCTCCCCTCCCCCCTCCCCCCAAGGTAGATTGTTCTCCAAATCGGTGGTCCTGGATATACTCTTCTGAAATTCTACCATAACCAGGTTCTCTGCACATAATACCCTACTATTCAAACATTGACTTTTTCCCTTCCCCCTCCCTTCTTCTTTCCTTTCTTCCTTCCCATTTTCCTTCTAAACTTCCTTTGTTAAATGAATAGTTATTTATTGCAAACAAGCTACGTACCAGGCATGGTCACAGGTCCTTGGGATACAGCAGGGATCTGGCAGTGTACACTGCACCCTCCCTGGAGCCTTCCACAAATCCCATGGAGGCACGGAGCCCGGCATCCTCACACTATATGTGAATTTGCTTTTCAGATTGCTTTTCTCAGAAGCAGCAGTGGCTGTGGCATAACGGGATCTCCAGGCAACTAAATGGTTCAGGGCGTGTGTACATTTGTGCATGAGAGTGCACGCTTGGGGGTGTGTGTGTGTGTGCGTGTGTATGAAGAGTCCAATTCATAGTCCTCTTTGAGGACTTCCGTCTGTGTCATGTTGGGATCCTCTTTCTCATTCAGAGTGTCTAAAATAATGTCTGGCACATAGTAGGTACTCATTAAAAAATAACTGCTGAATGCATGAGACTGGGCAAAATCATCAACTCTGCAGCCTTCCCAAATGACCTGTTTCTGTCCCAGTGATTTTCTCATTCGAAATGTCTCAACATACCCATCTTCAGTCTCAACACCAGCTTCCTTCTAACTCCTCCCCACCATTAAAATCTACACTGGGAACGTTTGCTTAGCTTACATCCTAAAACAAAATAATAAAATGCAGACTGATGAATAAGGTTCCCCATCAGAGGCATTTGCATCCTAACAGGGAAGGGAGCTTTAAGGGAAAGACTTTTCCAAAACAACCGCTAAGAGGTGGTGTGGAATGTGACTGGGCATTCCTAACTCTTGAGAGCGTGGGGGCGGGGTAGGGGCAGGTCCTCACTGCAGTTTCGGCTCCGCAGCCCAGGGCTTGGTGCAACGCGTCAGCCCACGTGCAATCCCACCCTCGCAGCCAGCGGAGTCTCCACCGCGAAGCCTATTTGTATTCCTGGTCTGATTACAACTTCAGGTTTAGTCCCTCTCTAACTTTGATTATACTTTCCTTCATCCTCTGTAATCAAGCTCAGATTGCTCAGATGCACGACGGCACGAGCAGAAGGTGAGGAGTGTGAGCGTGCAACGAAAACCTCGGCTTCCCAGCCGTGTGGCTCCTTGGAAGAGCTATCTGGAAAGAACAAAAATATTCCCTTTCGGTACCCCAGACCAGCAGGCTGCTCCTCTCCCGCGGCCAGATCCTGCGCCGTAAGCCATTGTTAAATACTAATGGTGAAACTTAAAAGATGTTCTCTTGCGAGACAACAGGTGGCCACTGCAACCTCCGGCTCTGATTGGTGGGAAGGCCACAGGCGCCCAGTGGCCCGAGAAAGGGCCTCCACTTCTGCGTTTCAAGAACTTACTCAATGGGGTGTTGTCCTGATAATATCTCAGCTCACCGCCAATTTGTGCAACCCGCTGGGCCATTAGGGAGCGCCGCTGGGTTGTCAATGTTAAATGGAGACGAGGGAGAGGGGACCACAGCTTCTCCGGGAGGGGGGATCCCAGTCAGTCCGGGGACAATGTGAGCAGTTGTTCCTTTCCTGAAAACACTCCGCTCCCTCTTGCAGGCTCCTGGCACGAGTTTTTGCCAGGAGAGGAGCAAGTACACAGACTGTCACCTAATTGAAGTTTATTTTTTCCTGCTCGGTTCCAGAGAGAGAATATCGAGGGAAGGCAGACGCACAGGTGTCAGGAGCCTGGGTGTCTGCTTTGGAGAACGGAAGGAAGGAAAACCCATGTACTACTTCTCGGAGAAAGTTCAGGCCCCGGGCCAGCCGCGTGTGACCAGGGCACGAAACTGTTAGTGAGTGTCCATGAAAAATTTCAAAATTTCTGCAAGCCCGTTGAAGTGGCTCGCAGACGAGTGAACGGGGAGGGGGCCGATGCCACCGCCGCTCCGTCACGTCTCCATCCAGCACGGAGCCCCTTCCCTTCGCCAAGGCTGAAGGCCAAACTCTCAGATTAACTCGAAGCAATAAAGCCCATGAGAAAATAAATAAATAAATAAATAAATAATGTAGCTTAAAGAAAGGGAAAGAAACGAAGAGCGGGCGGGAGAGCGCGGAGCGAGGAAGTTAATCACCCAGAACCTTTTAGGAAAACAGGGACATGTTCCCCGCGAGCGCGGCAACGACCCGCCTAGATCCAGCGACTCGATCGCCCTGCGAATGTAAACAGGAGCAAAGGGAACGCGAAGAGGGCCGACACCAGGCTTAACCTGGGGAGCTCCGAGTCCGCCTACCTGTGAAAGGTCAGGCCCCAACACCCCTTCTGGAAAACACCACAGGTGTACACGGGGCCCCGGCTCCGGCTCGGGGAAGCGCTCGAGCAGGTTGGCTGCCGGGCTAGGTGTGCCCGCGCGGGGAACGCTCGAGGGGCCAGGCGGGCCGGGACCCCAGCCCGCGAGCGGGAGTGCGGACGGGGAGAGGCAAGGGCGGGACAGGCGCGCGGGGGGCGCGCGGCGCGGGACGCCGGCCCGAGGGGGGCCCCACGGGGCGCAGGGCTGCGGCGGGCCGGCGCTTCGGCCGCGGACAGGAGGGAGCAGAGCGCTCCGCGGCGGCGGGGACAAAGAGGGCCGGGGAGGGAAGGGGGCGCGGTGGGCAGCAGAGGGGCCCGGAGAGGGGCGGCCGAGGCGCGGAGACGGGGACGGCGAGGCCCGGGCGCGGCGCGGCGTGAGCGAGCGGAGGGCCGCGCGGGCAGGCGGCCGGGCCGGGCGGGGCGGGCGCCGGACGGGCCGGGCCGGGAGCGCACCGGCGGGGCGGCGGCGCGCCAGCTGCCCGCGTGGAGGGGCGGAGCGGCGGCGGCGCGGGAAGGGGACCGCGGCGGAGGCAGGAGGGGGAGAAGGAGGGGAGGGGCCGGGCCCCTTGTCTCCGCGGCTCCTCTCCTCAGTCCGCCGGGGAGGAGGAGGAGGAGCGGGGCCAGCCGCCGCCGCCGCCGTCCCAGCCTCGCCCAGCGCACCTGAACGCCGCGCCGCCCGGCCCCCGCGCCGCGCCCCGCGCCGGCGGCCGCCGCAGCGCTGCTCCGTGCCCCGGCGGGCGCGTCCCCGGGCCGCTCCCGCTCTCCGCGGCTCGCGTGGCCGCGCCTTTGTGTGCGCGGCGCGCTCCCGGGCTCCTGGGCTCCGGTCGCGGCGCCCCTCCAGCCGCGAGTCCCGCGCGCCGGCCCGGGCGCCCCCAGCTGGGCGCCCCCGACGGTGGATCTAGCGGCTTCGAGGAGGCGGGCCCCGGCCCCGGCGAACCCCAGCCCCGGCCCCCGGCCCCGGGCCCGGCTCCGGCATGGATGTGAGGTTCTACCCCGCGGCGGCCGGGGACCCCGCCGGCCTGGACTTCGCGCAGTGCCTGGGCTACTACGGCTACAGCAAGGTGACCGGGCCGGGCCGGGGGCGGCGGGCCGGGGGCCACCTTCCCATCCCGGGCGCGCCCGCGCTGCGGCTCGCCGCCCGCTGCACTTTTCTTTCGCCTCTTTCCTCCCTAGCCACTCAGCCGCTCCTTTCCCTTGCGCCTCGCCTCTGTCCAACTCTGCCCGTCTTCCCTCTCTGCTCCCATCCCAGTCCCCTTTTTGTCCCTCTGCCGGCGCTCTCCTGTCCCTCCGCCTCTGCCCCACCTCCCGCCAGACTCTCCTTCGCTGCCCCAAAGAAGCGGAGGGCACCCCGAGGACTGAGAGGGGGCTCGCGTGATTCCCTGTTGCTGTTGTTGGTAAACACAGTCGCAGCCCCCCTAATTGGGGGAAGTAGGGGTCCCTGCTCTCCTGGTCCGATGATCTCGCCCCCTCCCCCAAGTCCATTTTACCTCCTCCACCCTCTCAAGGCCTCTTGGGGAAGGAAAGGCACAAACTTTTGAGCATGCCTTGGACGGAGGCTGTGGGGACCCGCGAAGAGTTGGGACCCCCGCAGGTGGCCCTTGCTGCCCTCTCTCTAGGGCGCTCTGGGCCACGGAACCGAGGTGCCCGACTCTCCCGGGTTAGCGCGAGTAGCTTCTCCTCTTTCATTGTTTTTTTTTGGGGGGGAAGGTAAGTTTAGCGTTTCGGGGAGATCGGGGCTGGAGACCCCCACACCACACCCTGGGGTCACCCGGCCTTGCCCACCTCCCCGTGTGCCAGCTTCGAGGCCCAGCGTTGCAGGTGGCCGCGGGCGGGTCTCGGGAGGGCAGCCGGCGGCCCGGACAGCGAGCGAGTGCGTGGCGCAGCCGGTGCGGGGCGCGGACTCCGCAGCCCGGTCCTTCCGAGCCCCCAGGGCCCGCCCGGGCGAAACGGCCCCGGAGGGCGACGTGCAGAGAAAGCCCCGCTTTGGACGGCCTCTGCCAGTGTGGCTTTCCCTCCCCTGCCCCCTCCCCCACCCTTCTCTTTCAATTGCTAGTTTGTTTATGATTGCTTGGATAACAGGAGGAAATCAGGAGCCTGCTGGAAGAAAGGTGCTACATAAAACTAACGCATACATAGCAGGAAGAGGAGGACTAGGATCTAGAGTGAGGAGCAGTTTGCAGCGCCCGAGGCTGCTGGAGGCCCCGTTCCTTTCTGTTTGTTTATACTCCACTCCCAACTCCAGTGCTGAAGTTTGTGGGAGACCATTAGGGTCTCTCTTGCTTCGGTGCCATCCTCACCCAGCTTCGCGTCCTGCACAGAGGGGCCTCCCAGCAAGTATAGAGGGAAGGGACTTTGTTCAGCGTGTTTTAACCCTTTGGTAGTGGGGAGGAGCATTCCTACTCTCAGAATTCCATGAGTGATGCCTTAAGCATTCAAAGAGAAGCAAGGAAAGGCTGGTCGCCCGTAGCCAGTGTTAAGGAGCAGTGTGAGTGCTCTGATTCTGGATTTACTCAGGTTATTAAATGCTTTAAAAAGTCCCCCACGTATGCTCAGTCAGGGACTTAGGCAGCCTAATTAAGTATGTAGTGTTTCTGAGAAGCCACCTAATTGTTCCAGTGGGGTATTATTTATCTCCTTACAACTTAGCCTATGTATGGAAGCCTTGAGTAAACTGGGCATGCTCTTATTTTTGGAAGCTATTACCTTGCCTAATGTAACTACTTCTTTCTCTGATTTAAGATCAGCAACACTCGAATGACACCAAAATAGAACCCTATTGTAGGAATTCAGTCACTGCAATGCGTGGCAAATCTCTGTTCACTGGGATCCCAAGGGCACTTCAAGGGACCAGAGGAAATTGTGGGTGTTTTGTGTATGTCTCTTTATTTTCTGAGAAAGGCTATTTTGAGTCAATTTAAACTCAGAACACTTATTTCAGGAAGGGTATATATAGCTTGAAAAGAGATATTATTTATTGAGATGCTTGTTCAACTGCAGGAGTGTGGATGCGACTTGGTTTGCTGTCATATTTTCTTAACGCAACTAAATGCCTGATATAACTTGCTTTCTTAGTAATTTAGCAATCTGATCATCATAAGTGCTGTGTGTACCCAACTTAGGAAAGTTAGGTAGAGCGCTTCATATTGGTAGGAATCAAATTGTACTGTTATTCTAAGGGATGTTCGCATTTATTTCCCTGCAGGTGAAAATACAACAACCTTTAAACTGAGCCACAATACTATGTTTTCTTACTCTTATTAATTTTAGACTGAAAAGCCCAATTTTATTTCCTGTAATTTTTCTTTATACAGAGAATGTAGTAGAAGAGGAAGAATTAATTTTATGGGTATAAACAGCAAGTGCTAATTAAAGGTTTATAGCATTTTGTTTCACAGCTAACTTGTGTGTCTGAGGTGGTGCTGTTCAGGATAGGTTTATACTGAAAATGTAAAAACTAGCATATAAAGATGTGCATTTATTTTATTTGAAGGTACCTAAATTGTTATTCTCTTAAGACTTAACTTTTGATGATATATATTATCTTTCTGGATGGGACATGATGGATTTCAAAGAAAGTATGTTTCTGCCCTTTCTTGTTTTAATGACCATCTGGGAAACTCTAGAAGAAACAGAAGAACTCTTGGCTCCAGGCTTAACAAGTGAAAAGTTAGCACTTATCTTTAAATTTATTTACAAACCGTGAATAATAGGGTTTCATTCATTTCTCTCTTTAACAAATGACCAGAGTCCTTTGTATAAATTATATGCATGTGTATTATCTTTACATTCCGTGAGTATATGGATCCTTTTCAACTGTCATCACTCATGAAAGTGTACTCTGTCTATGGAGAATGGATGAAAGAGTTTTGAGGGTTCAAAAGTCATTGCAAGTAGGAGAATAACTTCAAATAAAATATAGCCAGGATCATTAAAATCAGTTAATAATTCATGAACCAGCCACTGATGTATAAACTTAAAGTTATCTCTATTTTCTAAGGGCTAATTTCCATTTTAATTTCAAGTGGAAAATCTGCTGGTCGAACATTTCTTTTTCTGATGTGGCTAACAAATTAAACTAAAACCTATATATTAAAAAAAAATAAAAAGTTCTTATGTTACTCAAGTGAATTGGTGACTCTTTTGACAATGTTTCTGGAATTTTTCTTTTCCTGGGTTCAGTTAGTCTTTTCATTAGTAAGAAAATAATATATAGAATATCAATTAGCATATATATGTTAAATATTTCTAATCCAAAATCCAAAATGCTTCAAAATCCAAAACTTTTTGAGTGCTGATGTGACTCTCAAAGGAAATGCTCATTGGAGTATTTCGGATTTGGGATTTTTGGATTAGGGATGCTAAACCGGTAAGTATAATGCAAATATTCGAAAATCAAAAAAACCCTGAAATCTGGAACACTTCTGGTCCCAAGCATTTCAGGTAAGGGTTGCTCAAGCTGTAGTTGTCAGAAATCTGCCACCCTAAAATGAGATTCTGTATTTAATGTGGGCATAAGTGAGGTAAAATCATATAATGGGTTAATAATGAACTTGGATTAAACTTTAGTTACTAGCTTTTTCTGCATTTTTTAGGGTTTTTCTTTTCCTCTCAAAATATTGCAATTGACTTCTTATCCTTACTAGACTAGTCCTATGTTGTTTTTACTCTGTCAGTCCCAAACTTGGCTTTCTAATTATTATGTGTGTTACTTATTGATCTCTCTGCTTAATTAAGACATTTGATGTTAGTGCTTTGACTCAGCCTCATTGGGTCTCTCTCTTGGCTAGCTTGAAGAGTAAGAGAAACTGAAAGGTAATTTGTCATTTGTCTATCTTCTAGGGGACCGTGGTTCAAATTGAGAACACATTAAGAGGGTAATTTGATTGAAACTCTTCTTGGGTTGATGATACTTTGCGCTAGCATGAAAACTAATTTCTGGGGTATGGACTGGGGGAGTGTTGCATTTTGAGAGCTGATTGAGAGATTTCCATACCTTTCATGATAAGTCTTCAAGCAAGATATTGAGGCTGAAT